ATTTGTATTTTTAAATAATCTTATTTAAATATTTTTAAATTACAAATAATGTTTATAACAATATTTACACAAAAAAATAAATTTAATAATTTAATCAATCAATAAATAAAGAAGTTAATCGATAAGTGGTCCGATGCAATTTTAGTAAAAATAGGTGTATGTGTGTGTATTCTAAAACCTTTATTCAGACAAAGTCATACCAAACAGTCATAACATACCCCTTTATTCTCTAATTACAGAAATAATGATATCGTGCACTTAAACGGAACTAAGTAAGAGGTGCTTCGCTCGGTTATTAACGTTTTAGAACACAGGTGATTGTACGTACAGTACCTTCGTTTTATATTTTTTAGATAATGATACAAATCACGGGTATCGTTAAATTCTATAATAGCCGTTTAATGCTTTATCGGTACAGATAGCCAGCATTAAATATTACTTAGCATGGCATTTTAATATATATTAACGTAAAATGATCTTCGGTTGGGTAACAAATAAAAACAAAAGGATTTTCGCTTTAAATGTCATTTTAAGAAATTTAAAACGCCGTGCATGCTATTAAATCACAAATGCATCCATATAAAAACGTTATCATTGGAATAAAAAAAAAAACTGATTTTTCTTAAACATGTCTTTGCGTCTACCCAACGAATGTGTCCAAAATATTTTAGGACACTTAAGCGAGAGTGATCATAAAACTTTACTTTCACTTGCGTTGGTAAATAGAAATTTTTGTCAAAACGCAATCCCACTTTTATGGAAAAATCCTTTGCATTCAAGACGATCTTCAAAAAAACACTACAAAATAATCCCACTGTTACTATCGTTATTGGATGAAGATCGGAAATCGCTATTAAAATTTACCGAAAGAAAACTCATTATTCCTAATACAACGATATTTTATTACATAGCCTTTATTAAAAAACTCGATTTTATGAATCTTTTAGTACAAGTTTTTTATTGGTACAAAAAGAATTGTAAAACGGGGAAGACCGAAAAAAAAAACAAATTTAGGAAATTCCTACAAAATAGTAATGGATGGATCCGATCTTGCATTAGAAGTTCATATAGGAAGGTGACATTACTTGAAAAACAGGAAATATTAATATTTTCCGAATCCATTTTCGATTCATTGTTCAAACATCACAAATTTACGGAATTTCAGATATATCCATCTCACCCATCTACATATCTTCCACATTTTCCTCCGATAAAAATTAAAAATGGGTATTTTGTTAGTCCCCATACCCATAGAACCCACAATAATCCTATCCCATTTAATAAATTCAACGCATTTAACTTGCTGGTAAAGTATGCGTCAGGCCTCGGATGTTATTATATTGACACTTACTCAAAATATAGGGGCAAGGAGCCTCTGTTGGGAAATTCTATTAGGTATTGGGTTGGAAATCAATATGATTTGATATTTGAGGGCGGTAATTTTGAATCAGGAAACAAGGACATTTTAAAGGTATTTGAGAAGATTCATGTGCAATGCTGGGACATTCAACAGGTTAAATTGATTTTAATATTTGATTCCTAGTGAATTTACTATTTTTTTTTCGGGGTGAATTTTTCATTTTTTTTTTAAAAAAAAAAATTTGTTAATAAAACTTTGTGTATAGGAAAAAAATTTATTATTAATTATTAATCTATTAATTTGTTTTAACGATGGTGGAGATTAATCAAATTATACCTACCTAAAGATTGCAAGTGTATATTTTAAAATACATATTCTATTGTAAATATTACGTAGCAATGTCTTCAAAAATGTTAATATTAACTTCATATTAGTATCATGCGTACCATTGTTTAATGGTTTCAATTCTGATTGATTTTTATATAATAAATGTTTTACACATGTTTTCTTTTGTTCTATAATAAATGTTTTACTTTCTTGTTCTTAATTTTTCATATGTTATTTATTTTAAACTTAAAACTAAAACCTTAGAACTTGCAAATTGTACATGTGAAATGCAACAAATATATACTATAATAAGTTAAACGTGTTTTAATTACAATACGAAAAATAAAATAATTATTGGTACGATAACGATAATAAAAAGTTAATAAATTAAATAAGTCAAACCATTCACAATACACATTTCAGACTTATGAGGCATAGTATTTGATTAAAAACATGATTGAAACGAAAAAACAACAATCATTTTAATATATATGCATACATATACATACGT